AGCCTTGTCTACAAAGTGAATTCCAGGACAGCCAGGACTGTTACACAGAGAAACCCTGTCTTGAAAAACCAAATAAATAAATAAATAAATAAATAAATAAATAAACCATTATCATCTGGGTGACTCTTACATTACAAAGTTTGGCTGCTAGCATGAGGTACATTCTTATATATGAACATATGGAGGTGCAGCTTTAATACCTGGTTAAACAAGCATTGTTTTTAAAGCCTATCTTTCATAAACCTTGTTTTTAATGACTGTTTTCAGGACAAGAATTATCATACACCAATCCATCCTAATCCAAAATATCTTAGAGACCTGTTGTTGCCTCCTTGTTTGGTTTATACCATGTCATACCTTTAATGAAGATGGTGATGAAGTCACATGGCATCCACCCTCTCCGACCCTAGCAGAGATTGCTGCCAGTCACATGGCTGCCTCCATAAACATTTCACAGATTTTTAACCATACTCAATAAACTTACAAATTTACTCAATAAACTTACAAATTGAGGTGCAGGAAGTTTCACATAATAGTCTTAATGAATATTGAGATAAGGTTTGTATCTTAGCAAAAGTTTTAGGCAGTTAAATGAAACCAGTAGTCTATTAGTTTAGCTATTTCATTTTTGCTCTTATCCCTGCCACAAAGTCAGGTGGCCTGCCAGACACAGGGCAGATTTTGGAAGAGACTTTTAAATAAGCATGCTTGGGTCTAGAGAAGGGAGTGCCATAACTTAATTCTAGAGCCAGCTTTCCAACAAAGTCAAACAGCATAAAGCAATTTCAATATTATCCATACTCAAAGGACATTTGAATCCCTGGTAAACTGAATCCAGAGACCAGAAAGCTTGGAGATAAATTCTGAGCCCTGGCTACCAAAGCAGCCATGGCAAGCAGCCTTAGTGGTGGTGCTGGAGGCTGGCGGCTGGCACTGGCAGAGACAGCAAAAACAAATCTAGTAAATACAGAACACAGAAAGCTCACAGGCTCAAAGGGAACCAACCAGAAACAAAATATACAGTGGCCACCGCCATCCCTTCAACTGAGCCTGACCTATTTCCAGCTAGGCTTCCATGTCAGCAACAAAACTTAATAGACACACTGGAAAACAGCCCTAGCCACATACACAAGACAGACAGACAGACTTTATGACATTTAACTGGGCCTGATTGATTTTCATTTCAGCTCTCAGTATCCAAACAACGAGAAGCAGGTGGGTGTGTGACATCTCACTATTGCCCTGGGATGAGAGAGTATTGGGTCCCATTGAAGCCCTCCATATCCCAGATCATCCCAGATCGTGATCCCAACGGACCAGATGTCAAGGAAAATTACTATGATTTACAAGGAGAGGCTTCTGTAGATGTTTGCTGCTTTTGTTCAGCCCGGCAGTTCATTCTGATAGTCCACAAAACCGAGAGCACACCTTGGAACCTTGGAATGTCCCAAGGTGCACACCTCCTGAGGCAGCCCTTAAGGTGTGCACCTCCTGAAGCAGCCCCAGAGTCCCAGAGAGAAGGTCCAGTTTTAGAACTTGGGTGGGTGGTCTGATCTTATTGGGGGCCTCCAGAAAATGTTAATCCTACTGAGTGAGAATAAGACCACTGCCACAAGTTTTGAGCCGAATTTGAAGCAAGCTTTATTGAGTACAGGCCAGGATGACTGGTACTGGCCTGGTCCATACCTGGGATTCCTAGTGCATGGCACTGGGTTACATTAGCCAGGGGCTTAGAAAGGCAAAATCCACAATGCTATATACTTCCTGCCTGCCTTTGTCCCATCAGGGGCAAGCATTCCTCCTAATGTACTTCCTGCCTATGTGCCTCTTGCCTACATGTGATCAAGTACATCCTGAGCAGCTGGGGCAACCAAGCTTGTTTACAGAAGCAGAAACAAGTGGCTTGTTATCTTACATGACCAACAGCCCCCAGCATTCTAGGAAGTTATCTGTGCTTGGGCAAGTGGGTTTACAGGTTAGGGGTGTTTTTTGTGTTATAGATCTCTCAAGCACGGTGAGGGGCGGGACCACACTTTAACCAGCACTGTTTAGTTATGCACACTTCTTGCCCTCTATTTAAATCTGCACCTCATGTGAGGACCTCAGAGAGAACTTGGGAAGGTATCAGAAATATCAACTATGAGTCTTCTCTATCAAATACTATAAAGCTTGTGTTTAGGACAAAGACTTGGAATCTTTTTATCTCCCTCACTTTGTGAGACTTTTATGTAAATGTTTTAATCTCCCCACTCAGTAAAACCTTTGTGTACACAAAGGCCTAGCGTTCTATTCTAGGAATTTGATGGAACGGTGACCCTTTTCTCCTAGGAGCAGTAACCTCTCCCCTTTCCTCCTTTATTTCCCGTGCACCAAATGTTTTCAGACTAGCCAACTGAAGAAGATTATGAGGTGAGACCCCAGGCAGCGGGGAAATTCACAGCCAGCACCTGAATGATAATCAAAGCCAAAGGCCCTTCCTGTCTCGGTCTGTCCCTCTTGCCAAGCACACCCTTTTGATCAATATTTCATGAATCTTGTGCAACTCTGAACATTCCTGAAGCTTGACTCTATCACACCCTAATGCTTTGCACAGATTATGAATTAACCAATTGTGTGAGATTGTGAGGCCCAGCCCCACCAAAGAGACGAGACAGTCACCACCATGTTCGAATAAAACCTGAGTGAACTCTCCACCCCGGTGTGCTTTATTACTTCAGACAGCGGCGCCCCCTCCTGCACAGGAGTACATTGTCTCGCCAAGTCACTTCTGCTTTATTCATGTTTATGCAACGCGGGAACTATTCCTTTCTGGCACTTGTGAATTTGAAACTGTCTTGAATTTTAAAAATTCAGCTGACAGGGCCAGTGATGGTAGGTCCTCTGTGTAATCCCCACACTTGGGAAGCTGCTTTAACAGACTCAGGTCTAAGCCAAGCATGGTGCTGAGTGCTTGTAGTCTCGGTGCTTGGGAGACACAGGCTGGAGGGGCAGGAGCAGCAGGCCAACCCTGGCTCCATAGTGAGTTTTGGCGACAAGAGGGCATGTCTCAAAATTAAAAACAAAATTCAGCTGATGGATACTTGACTCTTGTGAAGTGATAATCTCTATATTTGGGGTTGATTCATTCCATTTATTATCTACAACTGTCATGAGCATCCCATGTCAGAAACAGATTGTGCCTCCCCACAATGTCAGGATTTACTGAATAATAACAAATTCATAAAGTGCAAAGGCTTTGCTGGCAGCAGTTTGCCGGGTAGTGCCTCTTTCTGTGATAGTAAGCAAAGCAAACACATGATTTATTTATTCCAATCTTGATTACTAATATTAACTCTTGGCTGTCTTACACACCACAGGGTAAATAGCTCCGTACGGCTGTCTATATGTGCATGTGTAGGTTATCGAATGGCCACAAAGGGTTAAAGAGGCCACAGCAGAGTTCAAGGCATTTCAAATTCTAGAAGCTGGGAAGCTGACAGAAATGTAAAAAGAATCCTCAGCTGGAGGTCTGCTGGAGCCCCAGGTAGCAGGTCAGGCCATTGTCCAGGCACAGAGTTCAGCTGCAGAAGCAAGGTGAAGTGAACTCTGTAAAGGGTGGAGAACAGGACGGGGTCCAGGCAAACAAACAGGCTGATGGATGGACAGCAGGTCCAGAGGGACCAACAGGTGACTAGATGGATGGTACTTTGATAGGCTGTGTCAACAGTGGAGACTGAGTCAATCAGGGACAGTCAAGAGTTCTCTGCTTGTCAGTCTCCTTACACATCCACCAGGTGTCAGATGGGGGCCCTCAGCATCTCAGGGCTAGGTGTCCCCTTCTCTCTGAGGTCCAAGTGAAGCAGCTGTTTTCCCCCAGTCTGCTGCGTCAGATCGGCTGTTTGGCCTGTTTTTTTCTGAGATGGTTTTAGTACTTCCATGAACTCCTACAGTCCCAGCTTATTTGGGCGGTACCCATCCTACTTTTAGGAATCCGTTAATAGTCTGTGCCTTGTGGGTAGTGACAGATAAATGAGGTTGTTACATATCCACCGTGGTGCATTCTCAATATGGAAGAAAAAGCTCCTTGTCAAATGCACTCTCTCAGGGCACAGCACAGTCTGAAGACCCACCATTTTATGTAGGGTGGAGCACTTTAGGGCAGCATGATCTAAACAACGTTCTAGAACAGTGGGGAAAACCACTGAAGCCCTTGAGGACCTCCTAAGTAAACAAGGTTAGTGTATGTGGTAATAAACATAAAACAAATACCTGTTAAAGCTCTTTAAGTACTTTACACACATTACCTCACTTAAAGTCTTGCTTTTATAAAGAATCATACCCAGTTAGGATGCGGTCAGCTGCAAAAACAAAAACAAACAAACAACAACAAAAACATGTGATTACGGCACTGGAGAGATGGCTCACTGATGAAGAGCACTTAGTGTTCTTGCAGCTGGTTCAGTTCCCAGCATCCACAACTATCGGCAACTCGGGTTCCAGGGGAATCCAACGCCATCCAGCTTCTGTCCCCTGCAGGCCCCAGACATGCATGTAATGAATGGACATGCAGGAAAACCAATAACAATCACAATGAGCATGCAACATTGGGCATGGTGGCACAGGACTGTAATTCCTGGTACTTGGGAGGCTGAGGCAAGTTCAAGGACCGCCTCTATCGAGGACTAAGTTCAAGAGCAGCCTAGGCAACTTAGTGAGCCCTTGTTTTAAAAAGTCAAGGTGGTGGGGGAGAGGGTGAAAGAGAACAGAGCTAGGGATCTGGCTGAGTGACAGAGTACTTACTTGCCTAGCCTAAGTCAAGCTACTGGTCTGCTAATTAAAGTACAGTCAGCCTCCATACCCAGGGACTGAAATTATTGGAGGAAAAATTGCATTTGTGTTAGACATGTCCATTTTCTCTTATTATTATTTGCATATCAGCATGCTTATGAACGTTTGATATCCAATTCCCTGTGTCTCCTGCCCAAACTACTTTGCATTTTGAACTCAAAACCTTTCCCCAGTTCTCACTCACAGGTCCGCTGCTGGACACAGGCTCAGTAACTGGGCCTGTAACCTGAACAAACTCAACAAGTTGTGATGTGACAAAGCTCACTGAGGCTGCTGGGGAAAGGGTCCATGCCTCCTTCCTCCGCAACCTGCACCTGGAACCTGAGGCCCTGGAGTTAGACCACAGTGCTGAGCCTGGAGCAGTGGGGGCCCCCTCATACTCGTGGAACAGTGGAGACCGTAGGAGACAGATAAGCCGGAGAAACACTGGCTCTCAGGTATCAGCTTTTGGCTTCTGAATCCAGCCTTGCCTGTTCTCTCTAAGAGCTTCTTCTTGGTATATGAGCCAATGAACTCTCTTTGTAGTGTTTAATAAAAGCAGCCAGTCTGCCTTGAGATGGTTCAGCAGGTAGAGGCACTTGCTGCCAAGCCCGATGACCTGAGTCTGATCCCCAGGTCCCACATGGTGAAAGGAGAGAATCAACTCGTGTAAATTGTCCTCTGACCTCCACCTGCAGGCTGTGGTATGCTTTTGCGTCCACACACACATACGTAAGTATGTAATAATGTTAATAATAAACCACATGAGGCCACTGGTTCAGGCTCTGGACTATGCTTAACGGACCAAACCAGAGTGGCATTACTCACACTGAAGCTCCAGACGACTGTACCAAAACTGAAGTATTTGACCATCTAAGAAATCAGGCTACGGGGAGATCCTCCTGCCTCCGCTTCCCCAGTGCTGGGATCAAAGGTATGGGCCACCACACCCAGCTCCCTTCCTTCTTTTCTTATGGCTTATGTTGGCCTTGAAATTACAGTGATCCTCCTGCCTCTGCCTTTCAAATGATGGGGTTATAAACTTATGCCACAGTGCTGGCTCAGTTTGAAAGTATGTGCGTGTGTGCACGAGTGTGTGTGCATGAATGTGTATGTATGTGTGTGCGTGAGAGTGTGTATGTGTGTGCATAAGTGTGTATGCATGCATGTGTGTGCATGAGAGTGTGTGTGCATGAATGTGTGTGTGTGTGTGTGTGTGTGTGTGTGTATGAGTGTGTGTGCATGCAAGAGTGTGTGTTTTCAGTGAGATTGACCCGAAGGCCTTGTATATGCTAGTTCAGTACTCTACTACTGAACTACATCCACATCCCTGTGTTTTGTTTGTTTGTTGTAATTTGCATCAAAAGACTGTAACTGATGAGGGCTGGATGGGATGACTCAGTGGCTAAGAGCACGGGCTGCTCTAACAGAGGACCCAGGTTCAATTTCCAGCACCTACATGTGGTGGTTTACAACCATTTGTAATTCCAGACCCTGGGGATCCAAAACCCTCTTCTGGCCTCTGTGGGAACTGCATGCATGTGATGCACAGATTTATATGCAGGCAAACCACCTATACACATAAAAAAATTAAAAGAATGTAACTGATACTTTTAATTATTAATGTTGATACTTTTAATAGTAATTTAATAATTAAATAATAATTTAATAATATTAAACATCTCAGACACTGTCTAGAGCAGTGGTCCTTAACCTTCCTAATGCTTTGATCCTTCAATACAGTTCCCCATGTCATGGTGACCTCAGCCATAAAATTATTTTTGTTGCTACTTCATAACTGTAATTTTGCTACTGCTATGAATCATAATGTAAATTTTTTTTTTGGAGATAGAGGTTTGTCTAAGGGTCTTGACTCACAGGTTGAGAACCACTTTTCTAGATGGTTTGGGCAAACTATTTATATCCTGGAAATAACCTTAAAGACAAATATGATTATTAGCCAAGCCATACAGCTAGCTCCCACTGACACTCATCAGTTGGTAGAACTAGAAGGAAGTCCTTTTTTCTTTTTGTATGTATATATTTATTTATTTTTGTTTTAACATCTAGAAGTGAGCCTTAATAAATATGAAGAAGACTAAAACCCCCAAAGTCAGCCCCTGAAGGCGCAGGAAGCCCAGGAAAGGCCTCAAATTATGTTTTTTTCAGAATGGTCAGAAGACCGTGCCCAGGCACCAAGGCAGGGTGTTTGGTGACAACGAGAGATGTCTGGGGGGAATTGGGGTGACATGACGCTGTGCTCAATTTAATTTACAGATTTCATAAAGACTGAGATGTCAGGGCGAAAGTGACGTCAGGAATGGTGGGACAGGCCTGTGACTCCAGCACCAGAGAGCTGGTGGCAAAGGATTGCCGAGTTCGAAACCAGCCTGACTTACGTAGGGAACACCCAGCTAATTCTAACTACAGAGTAAGACCATGCCTAAACAAGAAGAGAGAATGGAAAGAACCATCTCCCTGAATGCTCTGTATATTGGTCTGCTCCCTGACCCCAGAAATCTCAGTCACCCCCACGGATGATGGTAGAGCAGGAAGGGGAGGCTGGGTTATCCGGTATCCAGATTAGGCAGAAACCGAGTTGTCTCAATTCTCCTAGAGCTGCTGTTAGGCGCAATGGCCTCTGGGGGGCAGCAGCATGAAGCATTTGCCTTTGAAGAGCTACAGACCGTAGGAATTGTGTCTAGCCTTGACATCAGTCTTTAAAGAAATACGTGGAGTAATACTAGCATAAAATTCTCAGCTGTACCTTCTAAAATTGCAAGAAATTCAAATAGTCCTTTCAAGAATATTCCCCCAGACCCAGCATGGTGATGCATGCCTGTCATCCCAGAATTTGGGAGGTGGAGGCAGGCCTGAGAAATAGGGCCTTGTCTCAAAACCCCAAATATCAAAATACAAACAACAACAACAACAAAAAGCAAAGCAGCCATATCACAAATGAGCTGCCCTTGCTCAAAACACTGTAAGAGGGTCAGTGACATAGCATTGTGTGACAAAAATTTTCCTGAGGAGACGTGGGACACATCTACTCACCCGAGACAGGGAGCCCATGAGACACCAAAGTATGAATACCACCAAAGTCCAACTTGGTGAGCCAATGAGTTTTATTGGAGTTACTTATAGGAGTATGGGTGAGGGGTCACTTGCAGGAGCAGAAATGACTCAAAGACAGCTGCATCACCGAAGCCCACCCCAGTGTGGGTGACAGCTCACAAAAGCCAGGAACCTGAGCACACCACACAGCCTGCAGGCAGCTCAACGGGTTGGAGGGTGTCTTTCCCACTCTTGGATGGAATTAAACCTCTTCTAAGCAGCTCAGCTGGTCTGCTTGTGGAGTCTTCAGCTTGGCTCTCTGAGAGTTTTCTTTGCAGCCTGGCTTATTTCATGGTCTTTGCAGGCCTGCTAGTGTGAGAGGAACGCTCAGCTTGTATTGCTTACTCAATAAAGGAGGGGCCTAGTAAATCTGGTCAGTTTCAGGGACTTCCTGAAGCCATTTTGAGTTGTTTACCTTTCTGTTTAGGAGCTTCCCTTCAGGAAGGAATGGTTCGATCCTGAAGGAAAGTGTTAAAACAACAGATGGCTCTGTGAAAGTGCCACTGCCAAGCCCGATGACCTGAGTTCAGTTCCCAGGACCCATTCGGTAAGAGAGACCCAACTCCCGAAAGTGGTTCTCTGACCTCCACATGTGTACCATGGCACCTGCGCATGCTCGTACACGTGTACACACACAAGTGTGCACACACACGTGTGTACACACACACACAAATAATTAAGGTAATAAATTCATGTACCAGAAGGGTCACACTTAGTGGAAGCCCCAGCTTGGGAGTCTGTTCATTGAAAGCCAATGAGATTAAAATCTGACTCTCCCTGGTACTCTGAGCGTATCTGCTAAAACTAACAAGACATACCACCCTAGGCTAGCCCAGTGATGCTTTTCTCTAGTCCCAGAAGTCTGGAGGAGGAGGAAGAAAGATCCCTGGAGTCTGGAAGCATCCAACATGAGCAACACAGTGAGACTGCCACCTCAAAAACAAAACAAAAATCCTGGTTGGAGCCGCCGTCATTTTTGTCTTGAATGAAAGCAGCCTCTTAACTAGTCTCAACCCAGCCACCAGAGGGATCCTGTTAGGGAAAGCAGCCTCTTAACTAGTCTCAACCCAGCCACCAGAGGG